CCAAAAAACGTAGAGGTAGAACAAGTTTGAATGGTTTATGTGATACTCCCGGATTTTCGGATGCGGGTTGGCCTGGCCCATGCCTGAATACCCGAGGATCTAAAAAACGAATCGGTAATAATCGAACACAGAATACAAAAATGATAACTAAGAATAGATGAATTGCTAAAAGAAACTAAAATGATAATCCATTAATAAAATTCTCAAAATAAATTTTCATAAATAATAAAATATTCTGATACATATAATCCTCCAATAATAATATAACTCGGAAATCTATACTATGTGGACCCCTAGAAAATCCCAACTGAACAAGTGACAGCAATAACTGTCTACATCAGAACACTGAAACATAAAGGAAATTCCTATGTAGATAATCCGGAAGAGTGGAGTACACTGATCCCTACTCAGCACAAACAACCTCAACTCCTGACGAACACTTGAAAAATAAGGTGGGTCAGACCCATAAACAAGTTCTACTCTACTACAATCCAAGCAGAGACCCGATACACGTATACATCTTAATCAATCCAACAATAGTTAGTAGTTCGTATACAAATATAGATACTCACTATAGGACATTCACTGGATTATAGGTCTGTCTCAACCTGAATAGAAGGCAACATGCAAATCGCACATAAAGTGGGCATGAGTACCTAGATCTACCAGGGCACCTCGATGTCTACTATATCCAGTTATCCATCCTAGGCAATATACGCATCCTAACCATGATCCTGAGACTCAAGCTCATATCATGGCACCATAATTATATATATGTAATCCATCCTATCCATCCATAAATAATCCAGATAGGTCATGCAACTTGTTCAATTGAGCTGACACGAATATAAGTAGGATTTAACATTTTTAGTTAATCCATTCCCTTATACAAAATAGGTAGGACTTAACTTCTTTGGTTAATCCGTCCCTAAAATACCACCGTCCCATACCGGTGCATCACATCCATACAGTCCAATAATTGATGAAATAATTTAAAATAAAACATCAATTAATTCCATAAACAAGCATAATAAAAATCAGATAATAACATGATCATATTATACTGTCAATATATGATTAAAATCATATATCATCAATTTAGATTGCTAGAATAATACTAGGCAATTAAACCATCAATTAACAACATGTAAATTTAATTAAAATTTCACATTGTTCATCGTTCCATAGCATACAATTATTAATTATGCATTTTAGGTATTTAACATGCTCATTGTAGTCATTTAAATCACCCATAATAACCGTCCCTAGAATGCCACCGTCCCATACCGGTGCATCGCATCTATACAGTCCAATAATTGGTGAAATAATTTAAAATAAAATATCAATTAATTCCATAAACAAGCATAATAAAAATCCGATAATAACATGATCATATTATACTGTCAATGCATGATTAAAATCATATATCATCAATTTAGATTGCTAGAATAATACTAGGCAATTAAATCATCAATTAACAACATGTAAATTTAATTAAAATTTTACATTGTTCATCGTTCCATAGCATGTAATTATTAATTATGCATTTTAGGTATTTAACATGCTCATTGTAGTCATTTAAATCACCCATAATAACCTACATAGCCCTGGAACATCCCAAACCTCAAAACAGTAGCCAAAAATCCCAAAATATTAAAGTAGCAGCGATGGAGCAAGCTCTTAAATTAGGGAGCAAGCTCTGTCCTCGTGAGAGCAAGCTCTGTCCACTTAAGAGTAAGCTCTCGTCCTGAGGGAGCAGGCTCTCAACTCCATGGAGCGGGCTCTCTCTCCCTGAGAGTTATCAAAATAATTCCCTTTTGGGAGCCGGCTCTCACCCCTTAGGAGCCGGCTCTCACCTTGTTCTGCATCATATTCCTCATATCCGACGAGCTCCAATCCCTCTGTTCTCCATTGTTGACGGTCCTAAGAGTCTGAACTAAGTCTCAAATCATTCCAGTAATTTTTTTAAATCAATTATGCATCATTAACATCAATTAAAACAAATACTCATGGCATAAATTGCAAGATAAATCAATTACAAATAAATTCATCTAACATTATTTTAAACCAAAATTAGCATGCATAATAGATCAATTTAAAGTTTGATTAGTTCCTGGAATTAACTTAGGCCTGTATAGAACACGAAGTCTAAGGGATGGAGATAGAAGAAGAACTTGCCTTAAGGTTTCGGATTGAAACATTCTCTTCTTTTTCCCAACTTTTTCGGCGACCTCTGGCTTCCGTTTAGGCCCTCTGTTGTTCAGTCTTAAACCCCCAAACAACCCGCTATTCTTCCTCCTTCTTGGTTCAGTCCTCTTGACTGAAACCCTAACTTCCTCTCTCTGTTTCTCTTTTTCCTCACTGCCTCTATATTTCATTAATAGGGTTCTAAACCCTTTAACAGACTATCATTATGTATAAATATACTTATATAACATAACCTAATCCCACCTAATATCTAAGTCTACTAAATAAAATAAAAGCAAATAATAATAATAATAAAGTAAAAAGGTAACTAACTTTATTACGTATATACATATATATAACTATAATACAATTTATAATTATATAAAATATTAACCATCCCAATATTATTATTATTACCATTAATAATAATAGTATTACTCTATCCTTATATACATATATACTCAAATATGTGTATATACCACCTCCGTATATGGGTATATATCCATACCCATAACAATTCATATCCAAGTAGTCCATGCGACCCAATTGGTTGGTCCATTACTATTATTCATAACCATCCTTTAAAATAAAATAAACTAAATAAATAACACAGACAATTAAACATTTAAGGAAGCACATAATTTCAAATAAAACACAATTAATCACATCAAACAAATACACACCAATTAATACACACAAAAACACATGAAACAATTAAGCACACATTGTAAATACACATAAGCACATAACTACATAATTAAATAAAATGAAATTAAATAAATAATTAAATCCCTTTATATGGTTTTGAAAACTAAGAGTATTACAGTCTACCACAGAATCATAGATATGTCTTTTTCATGTCCAATGGTAAAAGTATGAACAACTTATCTCTAGCAAGAGATCACAAAGCAACAATCACATAAGGACAGAGGTAACAGAAGAAATCTGGTTGAGGCTGAGATCACAACAACAAATTCAAACCTGCTTTGAGCAAAAGGAAACCTGCTTTCAGAGAAAACTGCACTTAAATCCCATCACCATTGAAAATTGAAAACTGATTGTGAGGGAAGTTCATTTTCCCTCTGCACCTCACATACTGTCAAGGGATTCAGGAAACCCCTTCATTACAAATGCCAGACACATCAAATGCACAAAAAAAGGAAAGTAATGGAGGCAAATACTGCTCACTTCTCACCTGAAGACAACAATAGTAGAAGATTATCCTATGCCAAAGCAAAGCAACTAATGCCACACATCAAATGCACAAAAAAAGGAAGCCCTGCAACCAATGAAGAAATATATGATGAGAAGATTAAAATTTGTATGCATCAGACACGACATCCATAAAAAATATTTCTAAATATTTTTATTGGAAAATTTTCAAAAACAATAAAGTGATGGGAGATAGAAACTTTAGTTAATTTACTTGTATTTGAAAATTTCTTTTCTGCGTTGCTTGTCCCAACTCTAACTTTATCATTTGAACCTTAAATGCATCGATGTTGTAGATATGATAATTTGTCCCTAAAGAATATGAATGTATCACGAAATGCTTGGTGATTGAGTTAAACTACATGTCTCTTTATCAATTGCGTTTTAAAGAACTTGATGGATGTCTCATAAGATTGAGATAGGCTCTACTGGCTAAGATAAGGATTACAAGCTAAGATAATGATTACAAAATATGATAGGGATTAGGCCTACAGATGACGATAAGGATTAAGATAACGGGAACTCTAACATCCTGACCTAAGCCCTATAAATAGAGGGGGTTAATCCACGTTTAGAGGTACGCAATAAATCCTAATTCAATTTCTTGATTTCTCTAGAGAGATTACTTCTCACACTGACTTGTTCGTCGGAGCCTACTCCACCGGTAACACACCGGTGTTTGTAGGATCATTTTTTCTTCTCTTTATTCAGGAAGTCAGATCAGATCCGGATTGCGCAGAATCCATCATCAACAGAACTATTCTTTTTTTTGGGCCAATGTGTCAAAATGAAATGCATAATATGTTTTTATCCATAGCATTTCAAGTATAATTAACTCATTCCATCCCTTTGGGAGAGAGAATTTTATAAGAGGTTGATTTTTACTCGAAAAAAAAAAAAAAAAAAATCCAGAAAAATTTTCAAAATCTCTGCCAACCACCGGGAAAAAATAAAAAATAAAAAAAGTAAAACATTTTACAATAAAAAATTGCTTGGAAAATATTATACCAGGCTCAATGAAACAAAGAGGTTCGGATTATTAATGCTTCAATGCACAAGGTAAGAAGGTTTAGAACAACGTATATATTAAGATCAAAATTAAGTTTACACAGTTCAATTTTCATTGAAAATGTGCTTAAAATCCCATTATTTGTTCAAATAAATGAAAACAATTTTCTTAATGATTCACAAAAATAAGTGAAGAAATCAATTTTTTATTTTCGCATTCAAAACCTGTATTTCCCAATATCTAGAATGAACCTAAACATACATAGGAGAAAATCGTGATTCAAAATGCGTGCATTGGGGATTGATTACCTATGGAAGGGGTGATATATATATATAATATATATATATATAGAAACGTAATAGTATGAATGAGGAATATATATGGAATATTTGCAATTCAAGAAGTGGTTTTTGCATTGCTTTGCATGAAAGTTGCCTCCACTCTAAAGAAAGTTCTAACTACGGCTCTCTCTCTCTTTTGCATTGCTTTGCATGAAAGTTGCCTTCACATTAAAGAAAGCTCTAACCAGGTGTGTTCTCGCTTATATATATATATATTGTGTGATTTTGCAACGAAACAGATTGATCATTTGGCTTCCATGGATGACCAACAGTCTGCCAAACAAATCTCCAGGAGGGCCCCTCCTCCTTTAACCGAGCTCGACCAAGTCCATATGGATTTTGCTCTTGCCGTGGCATTACAAGAACAGGTACGTTAAATATTTGCTTGAGAATTTATTTCAAGTAACGGGGTAGTAAGTTGATGAGTGGCTCGATCAGGAGAGTGCTTTCCCGATGCTAACAACCACCACCACAGAAAGCAATAGTGATGCTTCGGATGAAGATGCTGCAGGTGATGCAATTAACAGTGATGATGATTTTTTTGAGGACAGCCAGGATATCCTCCAAGGTACTCACTCTAGTGTGTGTGCGCACAGGGACGGAGCCGGTGTAAATATGCTCGGGGTGTCCCTGTCCCGCCCACTATACATATAGAATTTTTTTTTTTTTATTTGATATATATATATATATATGGAATTTTTTGTATAATAACCCCCTAAAATTATTAGTTTTTTAAATTTTTTTTTTTTTTTTTTTAGTTTTTTTTCTTAATTTACTCTTCAAATTCCTTAAAAAGAAGTTAAATTTTCCTTGTTAAATTAAATTTTAATTTTTTCTTCTTAAGTTGTCATTTTTCTTAATTTTTTCCCTTCTACTCTTGTAAATAAATTTTTTTTTTCTTAACACTGTGCCCCTAAACTAAAATACTGACTCCATCCCTATATATATGTGTGTGTGTGTGTATATATATATATAGTTTTGCCTTTGACAAATGACTTTAATTTTTAAGTTGGTCTTAATAATTTTTACTATTTCAGTGATCATCTGGATATAATCTTGAATTATTCAACTTTTATAGTATTATATTATATATTGAATACCAATAGATGGAGAGGATTTAGCGTTGATATTATTAAGGATAAAGTACAAAAAAATTATCACATTTTATTGCAAAATATCTCCCTAATGTTATTTCTTATTTATTTACACTTAATATATTTTTCTTCTTGAAATAAATTATGAAAAAAATTCATACTAATTTGATGACATATTCATTAAATGTGCATACATTTATCTTTAATTTTTGAAATTAATTGGTTAAATAAAAATATTAAGTAGAAAATTTTAAAATAATCTAATTAATTTATTAATTTTTCATGATTATATTACATGAAAAAGAAAGTATTTTTTATTTAAGTAGTTTATTAATTTTTCATTGTATATGAAAAAGAAGGTATTTTTCTCCTATAAAAAAGTTTAAACTAGGTATAATAATTTTTATTATAAATAATAAAATTTTAATAATAAGTTAATCATTTAAAAAAATGTTAGTTACAAATCTGCATATATATATTTTTTATAAAAAAAAAATGGATATTAGTAATAAAATTAAGGTAAATAGTATAATTAATATTTAGATAAGAGAAAAGATAATAAAATTAATTTAATAAGAAAGAATAAAATAATCTTTTTCAATGAATTTGTCCTTAATTGTAACAAATTAATAGCTTAGAGGGACAATTTTTAATTTAAAAAAATTACTTACTAAAGAACAATAATTTAAGAGATGTTTTTTTTTTTTTGCAAATTACCCTATTATTAATTATATTATACGCCGTTTTGAATGTTAATTTCTAACACCGCTCTAAACACCTCAAACAGCTGATCAATTACAGTTTGTGGGAGGCGGAGAAAGCAACAACGATCAGGTTTTTTTTTTCTTTAATTTCCTTTTGCCTTAATTCTTAATTTACTTTCATTTTCTTTCCAATCAAATCAAACCCCACCATCTGCATATGCTAATGTGTGTCAGTGTGTGTGTGTATATATATATTGTGAAAAATAAATTTGATTTTAATATTTAATTAGTCATTTCAAGTATTTATCTTACATAATGTATAGTGACGGACCCAGAAAATTATGTCAGGGGCGGTCTTTTAATAACAACATATATATATATATATATATATATATATATATATATATATCTTAAACCATCCTAATAAATAAAAAGAAAATTTTCATTCATTGATAATTCCATTGAGCACATTTACAATTTTTTTTTTTTTTCTTTTTTTGATAATTAAGCAAATTCATTAAAGGTGTTCAAAAGGGGAATGCGTCCCAAAAACAACAAAAGGATCCCATTAAGCACATTTACAATTCAAATCATTATAATAACCAAAAATATTTTTTTTGTTGATTGAATCATTCCATTGAACACATTCACAATTGTCCCCGATGACTTTACATATTTTGAAAACGTCGTATAATAACTTCATTATCTATGCCACTAGATATCTCCTTTTTCAATCTATACTATCAAGCTATCACTCATCCATTCATCTCCCATCTTGTTGCGCAATCGATTCTTCACGATATTCATAGCAGAAAATGCCCTCTCTACACTAGCAGTTGCAACTGGTAGGATCAATGCTAATGTCACAAGCAAATAAACTAGTGAATGTACCTTGTCTCTTTTGGTTTCCACCATTTTTTTACAAGGTCACCAATCCCTTTTAATCCTTCAGACTCGCTATTAGAGCGCATATCCGCAATATAATTCTCAAGTTGATCACCAAGTCTCATGAGAGCATGTGGAGAAAATTCTTTTGGATAAAATTGAGCAAGGCGGATTAGTTTTTGCTTTTCAAAAGCACAAAATGATATTGGGAAACGTGCAAGTTTTAAAAAAAATTCGAGGGATTTTAATTCATAAATCTTGATTCATCACATAGAGACAAGTTTTATGCAAAAATAAAAATATGATGTATCATTCAATTAATGGATTGAATACTTACATCAAAGGTCTGAGTAAACATTAAATCTTTCCTCTAAAGTGAATGTTCTCACTTATTGTAAATCCCTTAGTAAGATGCCTTCTCCTTGGATCTCCATCTTCTTGGTAATTGTTTTGCCTTTAGGAATCAATCATAAGCCTCCATGAATGACCTTGGAAAACTAGGCTTGTGGGAGCCTCCATTAGATGAGAACATAAACCCTAATTTTCTAGAGAGAGAAAATATATTCTTTTTTCCTTCTACTAAAACTCACTCCAAAAATATACATAGACCATGTATATTTATAGGCAACATAAAGATAAAGAAAAGGAAACAACAAATCCTTCTCAATCTCTAATTCACATGTCTCAAATCTAATATAATTCCAATATCAAGTTGGGTTATGAGTGAGAATCCATTGGGCCTATTATTTTATTGGCTACAATGAATTAATAATTGGCTCGGTCCATGGACCCAATTCAATTAATTCATAAATTAATTTCTACTCCACTAAAAGAAATTAATTGAACTCCAATTAAATAATAAATAACCTCTAAGTCAATATTGCACTTTGACCCCTCTATGCATAATTAGTTATCGGATAAATAAAGCCATCAATCCGACTACTTAATTAATATATTTATTTTGGTACCTTTGATTATTTCTGGCTCGATCACAATAAAGCATTTGTTTGACAAAAATAATAATTTAAATAAATAAATATATAATAAATCATTTTGTCTAAAAACACACGAAGGCCTTCGAATTTATTTTGTGATCAATCATAATCAATACAAAATAAATACAAGTAGTAATGATGCAAATATTGAAAATATAACCCTCTAACTATTAATTACATAATTACCCAAAGTGTCGGTCTAAGGATCCCGAAGAATCCGCCGAACAAATCAAAGTAATTATTAATTAATAAAAGAATCTATACTTTTCTCATACTTAAGAGTCAAATGCCATGACGGTGATAGGGAGCAATTGCATACGACGGCTCTCGCAATATATCTCAACCTAACACGGATCTAGTTCAAGTCTTAATTAATTATGATTCCATCCATAATTACCGACTATGAACAATTTATGATTACTATTTATATTCATGTATTGATCGCCATCACATACATATATAAATATCTCTTGTAATCAAGAGGACACTATCAATTCTATAATGAATCGAAACATAATACATTCAATTCACCAATTGTACAAAACGTAAATATTTCAGAAACGTCAGGAACATATGTCACTTTAATCCAAACAGGAATTTGCTATGCCAGGGCATATAAATCCCAACAGCTCCCACTTGCCCTCATAGCCAATTCAAATTGCATCTAACTCCAATGTTATCCAGGTGTTGATCAAAACTATTGATCAATGACACCTTTGATAATGGATCAACAAAGTTGTGTTCCAATGCAATGTTCTAACTACAAGTACATTTTCTTGCCGGACAATATCATGTAGAACATGATACTTCCTCTCAGTGTATCTTGTTCCTCTCTAGAACCTTGGGTCATTGGTTTGGATTACTTCTGCACTATTATCGCAACATAGCTCAATAGGCAGGCTAGTATACTCCATAACCTCTAAATCAGTGAGATCAAACCAATAGGCTTCCTTTGCCGCCTCTAAGGTTGCAATGTATTCCACCTGCAGGTTTGAGTCAGCAGTTGAAATCTGCTTAACAATTTACTAGCTGATTTCCCTTCCATTAAGTGAACATACACTAATTCATGAACCTCATAGTATCTACTTCTGATTGAAAATCAGAACTAACATACCTGACTAGGACCATATCATCACATCCATAAATGAGTATGAGATCATCGGTTCTCCTTAGGTACTTAATGATATTTTTCACAACAGACCAGTTATCAAGTCCAGGATTGGACTGATATCTTCTGACTATCCCTACAATGTAACGGATGTCTTGTTTGGTATAGACCATGGCATATATGAGACTTCCATATGCCAAAGCATATAGTTCCAGTCTCATTTGCTCAATCTCCTCTGCTAGTCTTGGAAAACTACTTACTAGAGAGAGCAATCCATATCAATAAAGTAAGAACTCATTCTTTGAGTTTTGCATACCAAACCTGGTCAAAACTTTATCAATGTATGATTATTAAGATAAGCCTATTTTCATTTTAACCTGATCTTGCAAAAGCTTGATCCTAGGAATATAACTTATATCTTGAAGATCCTCCATTTAAAAGTAATTGAACAACTACCTTTTTATTGATGACAAAACTTCCACATCATTCTAAATGAGTAGGATGTCATCAATATATATAGAATCAGAAAAATAATGACATTCCCTTGTACACTCATGATTTCTTCACTAAGAAATCTTCTGGTATCTTTTTGTAGATTAACTTGCCTTCCATAGGTATCACCCTATTAGAAAGTTCTACAAGATCCCAGAATTTATTAGAATACATAGATTCCAACTCTGATTTCATATTAACTCGCCAAAACGATCTGTATCCATATCGGTTCACGCTTCCGTGTAGCTTACTGGGTCCAACTCATGTCTAACCGGGATGTCCATAATGGTCTCACCTAAAAACATGATTCTGTCGGATTGGATGATAATCCTCCCACTACATTAATGTACCGATGCAGGAATCTGTGTACTAGATGATGCTGACGCATCAATAGGGAATTCATATATTATTCTCAATCTCTATAATAAGTGTGTTCACATGTGGTACATCTGGTACTCATACCATATTCTCTAACACTATGCTACTAGGTATTGATTCATAATATGATTCTCCTATAGATAAACAGTGAGTGTAAACAATCAACTTTTATCTTTGAGATCATAAAATAATCCATCCTAGTGACTTAAGAGTAGTTATCAAATCTAGCATGCCTATGATCTGCTTCCAACTTACTTGTCCATATCAAGCGCACATGTGCAAGACTACCCCATATGTGCATGTGATTCAAACTAATATTTAGTCAAAAACACAGCTCAAACGGTATCCTTGAGACAGACTAAGATGGAATGCAGTTCATAATGCGCATCGATATCATTAATGCTAAACTCTTAAATGAAAGAGATAATGTAGCAAAACTGTTCATAAATCTAACCATGTTAAGCAGAAATTCTGTTATTCCTATTTGACACCTCAATCCATTGAGCATCAATTATGGAAAACTGGTACATAATACCCTCATTGACTATATAGTCTTTGCACTATCCCAAGAAATACTCATATCCACGATCAGATCAAAGTGTTTTGATAAGTTTACCTAATCTGTGCTCCACGTCAGTCTTGACACTTTCGGAATATACCAAAAATTTAAGACTTGTGTCGCATCAGATAAATTTATCCAAAATGTGAGTAATCTTGCTTGGATGTTCATAAGACCACACGTGTCTGTGTGTACCGACTCCAATTGTCTTTTATGTCTATTTCATTTGGTTGATTAAGCCCTTAGAGTTATCTATTCTTCAAAACAGGATTCACAAGTTTGGATTAGGCTCCTCCGCCTCACTAGGTAATAAACCTTCTTTGACTAATCTTTGAATCTCATTTTGATTGATTACAACCCAATAATAGACACTAAAAATACAATGAGTCAGGAATAACAATTTTTCTTTTAACATTCAATCTAGAAGATGCAACATTAGTTTCTACATCCTGCAAATCTTAAGAGTTTGTGATTATAGTACATTAACCATCTTTCAATGCACCAGAAGCAATCCCATATCTATTCAATTTTATAAAACCAATTTTACAAAATAACAACACAGTTTTTATAAACCACAAGTGAAACAAAAATTAGATTGCGTCTAACTTCTGTGCATAAAGATAGTTCTCTAATACTAATATCCTCATACTCTCTAATTTCAGATGTAATACTCCCACTGACCTAACTACAACCTTGGCATCAGGTCAAAAGAT